CTGAAAAGCTAGAATAACATTAAAAATATCTGAGCCTAATAAAAACAGTATTAATCCTAATGGCGGGAATGGGTCTAAATCTATCTATGGCAAGCTTTGTTAATACTTTTCTTCTTTTGTCGGTGTCACGATATCCTGTTTCCTATTGAACATATCTCAAAAATAGAAGAGAAAATGATGATTAAGACAAATAAGATAGGCAAATATGGATACATCATATTACAAAAAAAGCTTTATTAATAAATATTCAATATCAGCAAAAAACATAATACTTCGTGGATTATTGTATCAGTATTAATATAATTCAGAAAAATATTATATCGAATTTACATCAAAATGAACACTAATAAAACAAATGTGACATATTTACCGGTAATTTAGATTTGTCTCTGATTCCGTCATCTTTCAATTTCTTCAGTGCCTTCAAAGTTCTGTGCCTGAGAAGCTAAGATAATATTAACGTTATCAAAGCCTAATAAAATTTGTAAGAATATTTACAATCAATTTGTAGATTTTCTTGTTTCAGTTTTTTCCTGATTTCTTCAATGTTTTTCTGTATCAGTCTTTTTCTTACGTCTTCATAATTCTGTGCCTGAGAAGCTAGAATATCATTAAAAATATCTAAGCCTCATAAACTTCGAAAAATATTCACATGTAATTTGTAGATTTTCCTTCTATCCGTCTTTTCTTGACTTTTCCAGTGTGTTAATAGTTCTGTGCCTGAGAAGCTACAAAAACATTAAAAATATCTAAGCCTAATAAAAACCTATTATTCCTAATGGCGGGAATGGGACTAATCTATCTATAACAAATAAAATATTGAAAAAAAAGCCATGGCGAGCCCTGTTAATACTTTTCTTCTTTCGTCAGTGTCACTCGTTTCCAGTTGAAAATATCTCAAAAATAGAAGATAAATAATGATTATGACAAATAAGATAGGCAAGTATGGATAGAGCATATTACTAAAAAAGCTTTATTAATAAATATTAAATGCCAGCAATAAACACAATACTTGGTACATTTTTGTATCAGTAATAATATAATCAGAAAAATATTATATCGAATTAAAATCAAAAGGAACACTAAATGGAAAAAGTAAGCCTGCCCAATGAAACAAATGTAACATATTTACCGGTATTTTATATTTGTCTCTAATGCCGTTCTCTTTAAATTTCTTCAGTGCCTTCAAAATTCTGTGCCTGAGAAGCTAAGATAATATTAACGTTATCTAAGCCTAATAAAATTTGTAAGAATATTTACATTCTATTTGTAGATTTTCTTTGTTTCAGTCTTTTCCTGGTTTCTTCAATGTTTCCTTGTATCAGTCTTTTTCTTACGTCTTCATAATTCTGTGCCTGAGAAGCTAGAATACAATTAAAAATATCTAAGCCTCATAAAATTCGAAAAATATTTACATGTAATTTGTAGATTTTCCTTCTATCCGTCTTTTCTTGATTTTTCTAGTGTCTTCATAGTTGTGTGCCTGAGAAGCTACAAAAACATTGAAAATATCTAAGCATATTAAAAACCCTATTATTCCTAATGGCGGGAATGGGACCAATCTATCTATAACAAATAAAATATTAAAAGAAACAAAAAAGCCATGGCGAGCTCTGTTAATACTTTTCTTCTTTGTCGGTGTCACTCGTTTCCAGTTGAAAATATCTCAAATATAGAAGAGAAAATATTAATTATGACAAATAAGATAGGCAAGTATGGATACAGCATATAAATTAAAAAAAACTTTATTAACAAATATTAAATGCCAGCAATAAACACAATACTTGGTACAATATTGTATCAGTAAGAATATAATCAGAAAAATATTATATCTAATTAAAATCAAATTGAACACTAAATGAAAAAAGTAAGCCTGCCCAATGAAACAAATGTAACATAGTTACCGGTATTTTAGATTTGTTCCTGGTTCCGTCCTTTTTCACGTTCTTCAGTGCCTTCAAAATTCTGTGCCTGAGAAGCTAAGATAATAACAATATCTAAGCCTAATAAAATTTGTAAAAATATTTACATTCAATTTGTAAATTTTCTTGTTTCCGTCTTTTTCTGATTTCTCATTCTTTCCTTGTATCAGTTTTTTTCTTTCTTCTTCGTTATTCTGTGCCTGAGAAGCTAGAATATTATTAAAAATATCTAAGTCTCATAAAATTCGAAAAATACTTATATGTAATTTGTAAATTTCCCTTCTATCCGTCTCTTTTTCATTTTTCCAGTGTCTTCATAGTTGTGTGCCTGAGAAGCTAGAACAACATTAAAAATATCTAAGCCTAATAAAAACCCTATTGTTCCTAATGGCGGGTATTCCTAATGGAGGGAATGAATCTAAATCTATCTATAACAAATAAAATAATATTAAAAAAGCCATGGCGAGCCCCGTTAATACTTTTCTTCTTTTGTCGGTGTCACGATATCGTTTCTAGTTGAAAATATCTCAAAAATAGAAAAGAAAATAATGATTATGACAAATAAGTTAGGCAAATATGAATACAGCATCTTACTAAAAAAAGCTTTATTATTAAATATTAAATGCCAGCAATAAACATAATACTTGTGCATTATTGTATCAGTAATAATATAATCAGAAAATGATTATATCGAATTAAATTCAAAATGAACACTAAATGGAAAAAGTAAGCCTGCCTAATGAAACAAATGTAACATATTTACCGGTATTTTAGATTCGTCTCTGGTTCCGTTTTCTTTCAATTTCTTCGGTGCCTTCAAAATTCTGTGCCTGAGAAGCTAAAATAATATTACCAATATCTAAGCCTAATAAAATTTGTAAAAATATTTACATTCAATTTGTAGATTTTGCTTGTTCCAGTCTTTTCCTAATTTCTTCATTGATTCCTTGTATCAGTATTTTTCTTACTTCTTCATAATTCTGTGTCTGAGAAGCTAGAATACAATTAAAAATATCTAAGCCTCATAAAATTCGAAAAATATTTACATGTAATTTGTAGATTTTCCTTCTATCCGTCTTTTCTTGATTTTTCTAGTGTCTTCATAGTTGTGTGCCTGAGAAGCTACAAAAACATTGAAAATATCTAAGCATATTAAAAACCCTATTATTCCTAATGGCGGGAATGGGACTAATCTATCTATAACAAATAAAATATTAAAAGAAACAAAAAAGCCATGGGGAGCCCTGTTAATATTTTTCTTCTTTTGTCGGTGTCACTCGTTTCCAGTTGAAAATATCTCAAAAATAGAAAAGAAAATAATGATTATGACAAATAAGTTAGGCAAATATGAATACAGCATCTTACTAAAAAAAGCTTTATTATTAAATATTAAATGCCAGCAATAAACATAATACTTGTGCATTATTGTATCAGTAATAATATAATCAGAAAATGATTATATCGAATTAAATTCAAAATGAACACTAAATGGAAAAAGTAAGCCTGCCTAATGAAACAAATGTAACATATTTACCGGTATTTTAGATTCGTCTCTGGTTCCGTTTTCTTTCAATTTCTTCGGAGCCTTCAAAATTCTGTGCCTGAGAAGCTAAAATAGTATTACCAATATCTAAGCCTAATAAAATTTGTGAAAATATTTACATTCAATTTGTAGATTTTCTTGTTCAGTCTTTTCCTAATTTCTTCATTGTTTCCTGTATCAGTATTTTTCTTACACTTCATAATTCTGTGCCTGAGAAGCTAGAATACAATTAAAAATATCTAAGCCTCATAAAATTCAAAAAATATTTACGTTAATTTGTAGATGTCCTTCTATCCGTCTTTTTTGATTTTTTCAGTGTCTCCATAGGTGCCTGAGAAGCTACAAAAACATTAAAAATATCTTAGCCTATAAAAACCCTATTATTCCTAATGCGAATGGACTAATCTATCTATAACAAATAAAATATTAAAAGAAACAAAAAAGCCATGGAGAGCCCTGTTAATATTTTTCTTCTTTTGTCGGTGTCACTCGTTTCCAGTTGAAAATATCTCAAAAATAGAAAAGAAAATATTACTTATTACAAATAAGATAGCAAGTATGGATACAGCATATAACTAAA